AATAACTTTGTAATATGTCTGTGCTCTACATTTATGGTTTCTATATACATGATCTATGACTACATTGTAATATTATTGAGGTTGCAGAAATGCCTGACAGAAATAGTTAACATGGGACTAGAATGAAATAATAAAGTCATCACTCTAAATGAGAGACAGTACAGGAATATGTCTTAAGTGAAAAGTGGTGGCTCTTAAAAGAGCCGTTGTGGTTGTTTTGGGGCAGTAGACAGATTAAGCTCTCTCTCCGCGGATCCTTCTGGCCAGCTGGATGTCTTTGGGCATGATGGTGACCCTCTTGGCGTGGATGGCGCAGAGGTTGGTGTCCTCGAAGAGACCGACCAGGTAAGCCTCGCTGGCCTCCTGCAGAGCCATGACAGCGGAGCTCTGGAAGCGCAGGTCGGTCTTGAAGTCCTGAGCGATCTCACGGACCAGACGCTGGAAGGGCAGCTTGCGGATGAGCAGCTCGGTGGATTTCTGGTAACGACGGATCTCTCTGAGAGCCACGGTACCGGGCCTGTAACGATGGGGCTTCTTGACGCCGCCGGTGGCCGGGGCACTCTTACGGGCAGCCTTGGTGGCCAGCTGCTTCCTGGGGGCTTTGCCTCCTGTGGACTTACGAGCGGTCTGCTTGGTTCTTGCCATTGTGTCTTGTCTCTCTGAGCGGGAGAAAAATGTAGGGAGCTACGGGACGAGCTGCTCTTAAAGCAGAGGAGCGGATGGAACGGTGACGCTGCTTCGACCTCCGCCTCTGATTGGTGGCCGGTTGCTTCTGGAGCTCAGCCCCCGACGGGGGGAGCGAGCCCCGCTTACATCTCCGCTGCTCATTGGAGAAAAGGTTGTTCAAACTGTGAGCGCAGCTGGGAGCCTGGGGCCCTTTACTGGTTGGAGGGGCAGAAAACGCGCGCGCTCGGGGGACATATAATAGAGGGCATGTTCGCCTTGAGCACATTTCTCTCAGAATCGACTCTAGAGATTAACCTACACCATGTCAGGAAGAGGCAAAACCGGCGGAAAAGCCAGAGCAAAGGCAAAGACTCGCTCCTCCCGTGCCGGGCTCCAGTTCCCAGTCGGTCGTGTTCACAGGCTGCTGCGTAAAGGAAACTATGCCCAGCGTGTTGGTGCCGGAGCTCCCGTCTACCTGGCGGCTGTGCTCGAGTACCTGACCGCTGAGATCCTGGAGTTGGCCGGTAACGCTGCCCGTGACAACAAGAAGACCCGTATCATCCCCCGTCACCTGCAGCTGGCTGTCCGCAACGACGAGGAGCTCAACAAGCTGCTCGGAGGAGTCACCATCGCTCAGGGAGGAGTGCTGCCCAACATCCAGGCTGTTCTCCTGCCCAAGAAGACCGAGAAGGCTGCCAAGAAGTAGAGACTCAATACTGACTTCAACAAACACAAAGGCTCTTTTAAGAGCCACCACATCACGACGAAAGAGCAAATACATTTCCTGAAATAATTCACTTGCTGTTTCCTCGTTTGAGATGTCTTCCAGCTTCAATGTTTTACTCATCATCACATCCTATTTGACAGACTGTCCAGATGTATTTTATTAAAATAAATAACTACTTCTAGAAAGGTGGTCATAATATCAATATAATATTATCAGAAACAGTTCTGGAAGCGAGTAGAAACAAACCATCCTGGGGAGACATATGGAGCACATTCAGCCAACAGTGGGTCATTAAACCAAGATGAATTATTCTGTGAGAATGTTTCATTCTGAGTTTAACGCTGGCTGAAATTCATTTATGTTTTAATGTTCATATCAAGAGTCAAAGAAGGTCTGGTAAGAGGAAACTGGAAACTACATCAACGACTCAATGAACAATAAAATAATTCAATAAGGAGTTAGCTCTAATTAAAAGATCCTGTCCTGTTTCCTTTAAACTTTATATCCATGAAAAATTAACTTTTGCAGAGTGTCCTTAACTCCTCATTCAGTAAGATGATGAATATTGAAAACTCTTCATATGTTTAATTATTTTTATTGATGATTAATAACCCTTATTGATGAATCATCTTTCAGTGCCTGAACACTTTAAATGAAGGTCACAATATTCACAATTAACTTGATGCTAATTAGCATACTGGCTGCTTATAGGTCATAATTAAGCTCTTATTAGTACCTTACTCTACAGGACCATAATGTAAGAGTTTGTCCTCATCAGGACTCTGACCTGGAAGAAGGCCCTCTTTACAAAGAGCTTTGTTCCCTCACCTATTGAAGCTCTAAATAAGCTTCCACACTGACCGGCCTATTTCATCGTCTGTGTTTCTTCCTGGAGGAAGATTCAGTGTTGATCACCCTCCATGTGTATTTATTGTCTTTATATATCTAAATTTCATTTTTCCCTTCTGTTTCTATAGATCTAGATTAAGAAGAATGTTGAAGGTCCATTTGATCAAATAAGCTGAGCTGAGATTCTTCTTGACTGTACTGTATGTATTCATCTTACTACACTCATTGAGGTGTTTATACACAAAAACCTACATTATTGAATGATTATAAAAGTAGAACTATCCTGTGTTTTGAACATAATACTCTGACAAGTAATGATAGAATCTTAGTGAGAAGTGTAAACAATAGAAGCTGATGTCAACATTCAGAGGTGATTAAATATAGATTAAATGATTATAAATAGTATCATTGAGGACAGACTCTTTAGTGGAAGTTGTGGGGGCTCTTAAAAGAGCCTTTGATGCATTGAATGCTGGTCTACAGATTTACTTCTTGGCCTTCTTTGCTGCTGTTTTCTTAAGTGGAGTTTTTTTCAGACACATTTTGAAAACATCCTGACAATTAATAGGCTACAAAAAACTTGAAGTCTGTTGAATTTTATACTTCACATGAACCAAAAATGACTTTTGCATATGTATGTAGTTTACATATCGTAAGTCATAGACTATTTGTAGAATCAATATTGACCTGAGGAAAAATAACTCCACCATGTTCGAAGGTCTGAGCTCAGTAGAGGAGAATTAGATTAACTTAATTGATTTGTGTAAATGTGTAATAAACACGTTCTACACATTGAAATACTAAATATAAAACCAATCAAGCAACAATTTATTATAAGGATATTGTTTGTCAACAACAACATTGATTCAATATAGACTTTGTAGATTTGATTAATTTCTCAGCTTCTACTTTGGTAAGACAAGTCTATTTCAGAGACAGTAAGCTGCTCTCCACACAAACCCAAACTGATGTGATTTATTCAGTACATATTAACTTGTTAGATTGTTACATCGTACTATTTTAAAACTTTAACTCTGTCCCTTTCTTATAAAATGTATCATTTGGTCTGACCTGGAGCTCAAACCCACAACATCACCTGTGAGTCTCCGTGTGTTTACCTCCAGAGAAAAGTCTCCGATTAAAACTAAACAAATCAAAGTATAAGGTTAATGTTTGTTTTGTTCGATCAACGGATGCCTCTGTGTATACTATCACAATTTTAAATGCTCACAGGTCTCATTAAGACACTTTAGGAGCCGAAATGTGTCGGAAAATCCCCGCGTGTTGTCCAAACAGAGCGGGTATCATAGAGGTTTGAAGCCTGCTGTAATGAAATTAAAGAGACCTCGTCCACAAACATGAGCTGAATCTGAAGAGATGAAGGTTTTCTAACTGATGCGGGACGTTTTTTCCGTTTAAACAGATTCTCTGTGTGAGTTTTATCCCCATAAAGTTGAAGATAAAACACAAAGTGTCGCCACATTTCAGACAGGAGGAAGAGCGTCTGTGTGGGTTGACTCTTCACGGTTCTCATGTTCCCTATAAGTCCCGCCTCCTGTCACTCTTCTCCACACGTCCAGTGAGAGATCAACATGGCAGAAGAAGCACCAGCAGTAGCAGCCCCGGTGGTGAAAGCCCCGAAGAAGAAAGCGGCTCCCAAACCGAAGTCTGATGGACCCCCCCTCCCGACGCTCATCATCAGCGCTGTGGCTGAGTCCAAAGAGCGCAAAGGTGTGTCCTTATCGGCCGTCAAGAAGGCACTGGCCGCTAAAGGTGTGGATGTGGTTAAGGCTAACAAACGCATCAACGCAGCCGTGGTTAAGCTGGTAACAAACGGAACTTTGGCCCAGACTAAAGGCAGTGGTGCCTCCGGATCTTTCAAGCTTGCAAAGAAAGAGCCCAAAGCCGCCAAACCAGCAGCGAAGAAGGTCGCAAAGAAAGCTCCAGCCAAGGCAAAGAAGCCCGCAGCCAAGAAAGCTACACCCAAGAAGACTCCAGTCAAGAAAGTAGCAGTCAAGAAGTCACCGAAGAAGGTAGCAGCTAAGAAAACCCCGGTCAAGAAGGCAACCAAAAAGCCTGCTGCAAAGAGTCCCAAGAAGGCTGCTCCCAAGAAAGTGGTCAAGAAGACTCCAGTGAAGAAAACTCCAACAAAGAAAACAGCAGCAAAGAAGACTGCAGCCAAGAAGGCCAAGAAGTAAATCTTCACACCAGCATTCAATGCATCAAAGGCTCTTTTAAGAGCCCCCACAACTTTTACTAAAGAGTCTGTCCTCAGTAGTACACTTATTCTCCCCTTTTTTTTTTTTTTTTTTTTTTTTTAAATAATTATGTAATACATATTTAGAAGCATCAAATCGGCCTTTCAAACGTTTTGTTCGTGCTGACCCGATGGTAAGGTTCAGTCAAAGAGCAGCTCGTCCCCATAAAACAATGCTCAACGAACCTCAAAGTCTAGCACACTATCAGCTAAATGTTGCACACAAAGGAACTTCCAAGCGTGCATGGCTTTTTACTTGCTTCAGCGCATGTTACCGTACATCTTGGTCGACTCAATTACGCATGGCATCCAAGACCCCTATGCTGCCCCAAAAGCGCCTGTGTGGGACTTACTCCTTTGTAACCACAAAAATACTTACTAAAATATTACAGGGGCGTTAGTACATTATGACTGAACAAGATAATATACAACATATCAAAAGTAAAACATGAGAATTGGGGGGGGGGCTCCTAGTGTCCATAAATATGCCTGACATATGGGCCCCACATACAGCAGAATGTTGAGGGGTAGGGGCTCAAATTCACAAATAGCATTTTTCAAAATACTTAAATGTTTCAATGCCTGGAAGTAGGCCTACTCCATTTCCTTATTTTGATCAGTTGTCATAGTGTGACGGAGACTGCAGTCAGCACACACACCGACACACACACCGACACACACACACACACACACACACACACACACACACACACACACACACACACACACACACACACACACACACACACACACACACACACACACACACACACACACACACACACACACACACACACACACACACACACGACAAACTTTTCCCTCTGCCAGTGCGCCTATAATCACTCAGTAAATCCCATCATCCTCCTTTCCCTCTCCGTTTCATAGCGCGAACAAGGGTGCACACTTGAGAGCTCTATTTTTGTTTCTCATCCATACATATATATGATATATGATATTGATTCATAGCATTCTTACCGTTGGTGCGTTTCATATGTGCTCCGCTGTGTCCCGTTTGGGTGCCAAACAGAGGCGGCCCATTTCCGCATTCTAAATAGGCGAATGCGGCGCGCAATAGTAATCACGTGATTGATTGTTTAATTAAATGTTTGTTTACAATGTATTGCATCAGATACATTGTTGTGGTGTGAATAAAATATGGATTAAAATGTTTAATCTAGTGATGAGTAGACCATATGAATGTAACAGGTTAAAAATCGCTCATTCATGAGAAAGTGTGTTTTGTTTAAAATGTTATGTGATTCATAACGCCCAGTGGGAGGGGCTTATTGCTTTAAAAGATGGCTGCTTGCTGCTTTCAGTCTAGTCCTGGTTACAGAGGAGGTAACGTGTTGGAGACTTTCTTTTTGAAGTGCAGTTTTATTTGCTCGCTCATGTGGAATTTTGTTTTTGGAAGACTTTTGTTTTGTAAATAGTTTAAATACATTTTTTCCCGTTTTTGCATTTTTTAAAAATAAATATCTGTCATTGCACCTTGGGAGGCTGGCTAAAAATAAAACACATCAATTGCAGTCTTTGACTACGCCTGTGTTTTTAAGATTTTTGAAAGAGGACCACGTCACACATATTAAATTTCATTGTTTTAATATTCAGTCATTCGCTCTGCTCATGGCAGAACTTTGTTTTGATTGGCCAGCATGGCCAGTAACCGTGCAGAAAGTAAAGGAAATGGTTGTAGCTCTTTGTTCAGCCATTCACCAAAAATTTCTAAACCTCTAAACCTGTTTGGAGGCTCTTTGATAAAAGAGCTACAGGAGATGCTGCTAGGAGAAATCTTACAGCTCATGCTGTAATGGAGGTGAGATCCTATCTTGAGGATGGTGGCAGGCCAAGGCCTCAGTCTTCCCACACCTGGTGAAGGTGATGGAGGGAGACTGTGTATTGTGGCAACATCTGTTCCTTCCGAGAGAATCTTCAAAAACAGGGCAGATACTTAAAGTAAGAAGGAATGGCATCAGCCCATCCAAGCTGAGGCAACTATTCATAATGTTTGAT